GCTTTAATTTAGGCTGTATTACAATCCCAAACTTACGTAATTTACCATCATGTCGTTTTTTTATTAAGTCAGAAATCCCACGTGATTTCCTGTCGGTCATGCTCTGGAGTTTTTGAAAATCTTCCAGAGACAGAAACCTGGCTAAATCACACCGGAGCTTTGATTTAATATCTATAAGCTTAAACAACTTATTCCGTTCTGTATCATAGGTCTCACTTAGTTTCTGATTAGAAGCCTGGTGGAGATACACATTAACCTTATTCGAGTGGTACGGTCTCCTAAGTTCACAGAAATTAGGAATAATACCATAAATTTTACAACAGCTTAAAAAAGTAAGATGGGAAGATTGACTTACAATTATCTTCTCTATCCGGCCGTATTCAGTGCATTGTTTGGCAATTTTACTATCGTACTTCAATTGAATATATGAAGACCAAAATGTTGTGGCATCTGGTATGGTCTCAGTCTCCCTTTGATTTATAGAATTGGGTTGAACTCGTTGTCGCAACTTGGTCTTGTTGTCAGAGAGACTTAGTAGAACACACCTAGTCCGAAGTCGTCTTCCCTAGTAGTTGTCAAGATTTCCAGTAGCAGACACTGGACTTGATACATTCTCAAACGTTTCGCCGGCATCGTAGTCGGCATCATCAGTGAATTTTGCCATTCTCAGCACTAAGCTACGAACTCGTCAAAGAGACAAGTGAAGTCAATCCCTCGACAAACGTTCTGCCGAAAATGGTTACACTATCACTCCTCTTTCTGTCCTGGTCTATCTATCTACTCTACCCTCTTATCCCACTGCCGCCCTATCACAACTTCTCAATTGTTTACCTTCCACTCGTCAAAATGTGTGCCCTTTCGGGCACTTCGGACGAAGTGCGTTCTACTAACTCGCTCTGACAACAAGACTAAGTTGTGACAGCGAGGTCAACCCACTTCTATAAATCGAAATGAGTCTACGACCATACCAGAGGCCCCAACATCTCGGTCTTCATATGTTATCCTTTTTTGTTTATGACGCTGTTCTTTCGATATCAATGTTTTATTGTAATCTGCTGAGTAATTTTATATCCCGGAGTATGGTCATCTGCCAATTCTTTATTAGAGATATAGTCAAATATTCAAGAGGCATCTGAATCTAGAATTTAGTACTTATTTAGTCAAGAAACAATTCCCAGTTTCGCTCCTATAACAATTTCTTTTTTTTATATAATATACTCCAGGATATGATTTCGAGCACCTTGGAGATACGCGATCGTCGAGGAAAAAAGATGCGTCTAGCCAATCCCTTCAAGAAGGCGCGTTCCCGAGATCAGTCTCCAGAAGTTGTCTCTGCTCTTGCCGGAGGTGCGTTAAAACCTCTGAATAGCTTTTTTCTTCCATTCCCCGCTATGCGATTGTCAAGAATGAAGCTAAATTATTGCTTCCAATTATCAAAGATCTAGTTGCGTTGCTTTTCCCAGGTTATCTTTCTTACTTTGACTTTGATTTGCTGTGTTGTTTGTTTAGGAAAACGATTTAGTCATGATCCATTAGGCGATCCTATACCATTTCTCGTTCATTATATTTGACTAGACTCATTGATGATAGACGGCAAAGCCTAAGAGGTTTAGAATGGGAGGTTAACCTAAATTCTATTCAATCGACTTTTACGTTAGCGAGTAATTTTTATGCTACCGCTGTCATACTCCCGATTTCATTTCTGATTAAAATATTTTAGATGGTTATTTGAACAATAAGACTATGAAATAGAAGTTTTAAAAACATGAATGAAAAAGTTAACGCTAAATTTAGGCAAGATAAAAACGTGTAACTTAGGATATTGTACATATTGCCTAGTTTTTTTATTAATTTTAAATCTTTTTCACTTAGTCAGTAATGCAACATCAAATAACTTTTTTTGGCATTCTTAATAGTATATTTCCATCAACTTATTCTGATGTAGTTTTTGACCGTTTTTCAATCTTTTATCCATTTTTAATGCAATTATCTTGAAGCTTTTATCTATTCAATGTATGTTGTATTAGCGCAGCCCTATCAGCAATAATAAAGACTATTTAATCATATTTTTATTTGCACTTTATTTAAAGTCTAACGGATAACCCTAACTTAATAATCTCTTCTCTTCTCCTTATCTACTTCGTTCCAGGAGGAGGCTCCCTCAGTCTGACAAGTGGTGGCGGCTC